GATTGCTGACTCTAATTAAGAAATATTTTCTTTTTGTATTATTTTGTAGTTTCTTTTAATTCATAGGATTGCATGGCATATAGTTTGTAGGAACTCACAAAATTGATGGAACATTTTGATTTAAACACTCACTTGAAAATACTCAAGGGCAAAAACTCCCTTATCAGGATAAATTGAGAAATTTCATCATCCTTTCCTTAGCACACAAATCACTAATTTGTTACCATACAAACTCAAAACTTTTAAAACTCATTAGACATTGGCCCCTAAGGTCTCGAGCAAACTAAGTAAGAAGAAATTCTTAAGTGAACATGTTTAAGTTTATTTTAATCTGTTGGTATTTAAGATAAGGTTTAGGGGTTGCGTAGAGCACTCCGCAATGAAAGAGATATTTAATTGGTCATCGCCTTCCTTTAGTACTATCCTTACCTAGCTAACTGGCTAAGTAAAGTTTGATGTTTCACTAAAGGATTTTTTTTAGTTAGAAGCTGATCTAGCTAGTTGCGCTTAGACATAACCCTAAAATTAAGGGTGATTGTTTCAAGTGGTTGCTCTTGATTTATTTAGCTAGTTTTTTTTATCTTTCTTCTTTTTTCTTTCTATTTTTTATTATATATATATATATATATATATACTATATATATATATATAACTATATATATATATATATATAAGTGTATATTATATATATATATATATATACTAATATATGAGGAAAAAAATGTGTATTTCTTGGTTACCAAAGCCACAAATTTTCGTGCTTGGTAGTGATGTGTCACATTTTTCATCCACTCACTATCAATGTGAACATGGTCCCATATTTGAATGAGTGGAGCGGATGTGACACATCACTACCAAGCATAACTTTTTGTACGTTGGTACCAAGCGATACCCATAATTGCTATAGTATAATATAGTATATAATATAATTATATAGTATCAATATTAATATATATATGATATATATATATATATATATATTATATATATATATATATATCATTATATAACATAAGGTATATATAATATATAGTTATATATATATATATGAACTTAGAAAGAATTGTTTTGTTCTTTTGGATTATGGATAATACTAATCGTTCAATCTGTGTTGAACTAACATTAAAAACTAAAGAAATGACAAATTCAACTATACTTGTTTTTCAAGACATGTATAAACCAACTAGGAATGCAATCCCGCCTCGCATTAGGCTTCCGATGTTAATAGAGCTAACTTTAAGCTTCGGCCTCACTTCATAAGTATACTTCCAAAGTCCTTAGGAAATGAATTAGAAGATGGTTACATTTTTATATTAAAGTTTTAGGAAATTTGTCTTGTTATTAAGAATAGAATTTATCTGAGAATGTAATTAAGCTTAGATTTATCCCCTTTGCATTCAAGAAAAAAAATAAAAAATGTTTGTAGAACTTACCTATAAATTTTATCTCAACTTGGGATGAATTTATTACCATTTTTCTTCCTTGATAAATTTTTTACAATTCATAAAATGGTAAAAGTTTAGATTCAGAATTTCAAGATAATTTCAAGGGAGAAATTTTAAAAGTGTTTTGATAGATTTAAATATCTTCTTATCAATATCCTCACCATGGTCTAGAAATTTTTTTATTATGCCAAATCATTTATGAAGGATTGTATTATTCTTCAAATGTTTTCTTAGAATCTATGCGTTAAAAAGATTTTATAAAGAAAAATACTGATAAAACTTGAGAATTGTTAGAGAATTTATCTAAAAAATCATGCAATAAGAATACTGTGATTGAAGAGTCTCATCAGTTCCCTCAACCAAATCTAGTGATCTTTCTCTAGAGTCAAACATTGTCTTTGAAGCAAAAGTGACTACAATCTGGCATAGATTAGATACCCTTAAAACCAAAGAATGAGCCCCAACTCAAGATGACCAAGTTTCTTCCCCAGTATGTCATAACTATTTTTATCCAGCTATATTTTAGAGAAATATCTTCTCTTAGGAAACAATCAACCATTAGAGCAGATAAACGCTGCATTCTAGCATCCTACAAACATTTCATTTTCTCCACCTTACAATCCGGATTAGAGAAATCATCCAATTTTTGCTTGAAGTCAAGAATTTTCTTTAAAAAATTAAAATTTTACTCACATTTCAACTCCATAATTTTCAAGAAACACAGTTCCATTTAATACATTGAATAATTCTCAACAATTAAATCATCCATATCTAAACCAGCCTTCTCATCATCTCCTATTCCTATGATTTCCAATCACAAGAAACGATTTGGTGTCTTGGAAAAAGGTTTAGAGGCCATGATAAAGGCTTCTACATAAACCACCAATATGTTAAACTCGATCTTCCAACACTTTGAATTCCTTTATGCAGACAACTAGTCAAAAGGAGCTGAAGGAGAAAGGTTAATCAAGCCAACCGATGTTCGCATTGCTTCACCCAAAAGGATTTTGGAAGATTTGAGTGAGAGAACATGCACATATTTCTTTCTCTGATGATGCAATTCATTCTCTCGGTGAGACCATTCTGTCAAGGGAGTTTAAGGATAGTCTTCTGGAGTTTGATACCATGATCTTTGCAATACTTCTCAAATGGGCCCATATACTTGCGGCCATTATTTTCTCAAACACATTTCATCTTCCATCCTGTTTCTTGTTTAACTTTAGCATGGACATGCTTAAAAATTTCCAGTGTTTGGTCTTTGGATTTTAGTGTGTATGCCCACAAGTTCCTAGAGTGATCATCTATGAAAGTGATAAAATAGAGAGCACCTCTGATACTTTTATTATTCATAGAACAAACATCGGTATGAACAAGGTTAAGTATGTGAGAGCTCCTATGTATGATAGATATGTGTAGTGAAACTCTAGATTGTTTACTAGACAAACAATGTGTGCATGGTTCTATGACGTTACCTTGCACTGATAGGAGTTTCTTTCTAGCGAGGATACCGAGTCCCTTATCACTGAAATGTTTGAGCCGCTTGTGCTATAGCTTTGTATACAGATCTTCAATAGCGTGCACCTCCCCTTGATCACCTTGGCTTGTGTTCTTTATAGTTTTTTTTTTTCCTTCTTACCTCTGGCTAGCACTAGTACACCTTTGGTAAGAGTCCGTCAACCACCTCAGAATTTTTTGTTGTATGCTTCATCACCAGGTGCTCCTATAGAGATTAGGTTGAGACGAATTTCTAGAATGTGTTTGACATTTTTGAGTAGCAATCTGCACCCAAGTTTAGTCTCTTACAAAAATATCTCCTATTCCCTCAATCTTGCATTTCACTTTATTTCCCATCCTGACGTTGTCATGATGAACATATCCGTAGGATGTAAAGGTTATCATCAAGGAGTGACATGGCAAGAAGTTGTAGAATTGACAATCTATGTAGAGTCCTTGCACGTGACATCTATGAAACTTTTATAACAAATAGCCACATCACCCTCTATAATGATTGTGGTCATATCAGCATCATCCTTCTTTTCTTCACTCTTCTCTTGAGGACGATCTCTCTTGAGTTTTGCATTTCACAATAATAACATTCAATTTCCTTTCTCAGCTTTGACTTCCCTCTGGATTTGTCACATTTGTTAGAATTCCAAAATTTCTAGTCTTGCTTCTCCCCTGCTTTTCGACAGTGAGGGCCTCTAAGGAAGATGTATCACCAAACTCTTTTCTTCTAACTTCTTCACTAAACATGCAGTCATCTTCCACCATGTTGAGAGTGAGAGAACCATTTGTTGCTGAATTACTGACTAAAGTGATAAGTGTCTCCTAACTTTCTGGCTGAGAGATCATCAAGAGCAATGTTTGAACCTCATAACTAAAATCAATCTTCACGATGAATTACTGGTTCAGTAGCTCTTGGAAAATGTTTAAGTGGTCCTCAATACTTGTCCACCTTGATATTTTAAATTTACAAATCTTCTAATGACAAAGGCTTTCTTCTGCGATGTCTTGCACTCGTAGAGATCCTCCAATTTTTTCCAAATTTGATAAGCATTTGTTTCTTGTGTTATGTGGTGGAACACACTCTAACCTACCCATTGCTGGATCCTCCCAACCAACCCTCTGTTCAGAATATCTCAATCTTCATCTCATTTGTCAGCTGGCTTGACGCCTGATAGTTTAACTGATTAGATCATATCCTTGCAATAGATTATATCTTCCATGCGCGTCTTCTAAATAGAGAAATTTGTTGCAGTAAGTTTGAACATGGTGCAAGTAGTCTCCTCCATCTTAATCCTCAAAAGATCTCATGTGAGTAGCCAACCAGGTTCTGATACCATTTTGTTGGGGGGTAAAAAGATAAAGAGTGCACAATAAAATAAAATTTGAACAGTAGAAAATGTGTGGAAAACGCAAAATTGGAAAAACCACGGGTCGACCGAAATGGCCTAGTAGCTTCCACTATGAGATGGTGGGATTTCTAGTACTCAGGGAATACTCCATATTACAATGAATTTCTTCACCGAAAAGGTAGATCACGAACACTCAGATGCTTTCACTATATATATGTATATATGTGTGTGTATATGTATGTACGTACGTATGTATGTATATACATATATGTTTGTGTAACTCTCTGCAAATCTCTTTCTCAACTTGTTATTTTCATGTTCTATTCATCCTCTATTATATGCATAGAAGGAACTCTAATCATCTTCAATGTTTAACTTCCACATTCACTTCACAAAACATTAAAGGTTATCATTTAACATTTAATTACTCGTAATAGTTTAATTTCACCCACAATTAAACTATCTAAACATCAAAAGTTAACATTTAACATTTAATTACTCTTAACAGTTAAATTTCACCCTCAATTAAACTATCTAATTTGTACAGATTCCAAAATAATAAGGCGGGACCCAACATTTTGCGCAATATAATATGAGCACAAGATCACTGAGCATATATAATTCCCTCAAATCTTCGTACCGATTACAACTAAATCAAGGAAATAAAGCAATGCCAAATATCGTCAATATACAAGAGCTATTTTCATAGAATCCTCCTCAAAGTACATATATATAAAGTCAATCTTGGCATGCATCATTTTCAAATTACATAATTGGTCTTACGTGGGACACAATCATCCGTTATGCCAGTACAAAGCTAAAGGGCAACAAATCCATTACCCACCAAAATTTGGATAATTTAGTCCTCACATATGTATTTAGAAAGGGATTTGAAAATTCCCCAAATTAGCCTTTTGTTAACAAACAAAATCTCTATTCCATTGTTCTTCAAACATAGCCTATTTTTTTAGACCTCTCGTCCCAATCCAAGCCATGATCTTGCCTCTTGAGATCTTGAAGTAGACATAATTTTAGAAGAGCTTTTCATTTGGTATGGTCCCTTCGAATTAATCCTGCGTTTTTAAGTAAAAGGAAATTTATTAGAAACTACGTAAATCATGAAAAGTCAATATTTTAAAAAACAGCAATGAAATAATTAGAAATTAACTAAAAAAATTTACCCACCTATCTTTTCTTTTCTCGATGAATCTATGCAGTGAAGCCCTTCTTTGCAATGGCATTGGTATTTCTGTTATAACATAAAACAAGCACTTAGAACTTTATATAAAATTATTACAATTTCACAATTATTTTAATTAATATAAAGTTTCTACTCGCACGGTTCATTATAACCATCGAATCATTTTAATAATTAAAATTTATCAAATAAAAGAAAGAACAATTACCAGGAGTTTCAATTTTTGCAGAAGAGCTCCCTACAGTTGCCAAATTGATTAAATCTGCAGCTTTTTCCGGTCGAATGTTATCAAAAACCATCATTTTTCCTCCATAAAATAATGTCAACTGTGGGTTCGTAGCATTTCGGTCCGAAACCAAAAAAGCATCCTCTGTATAGGTTTGGTTTTCGGCCGATATGTCAATTCCGGGCAACAAATTCAAAGTCGTAGGAGGCCGATACAATCCTAAAAAGTTTCAAAAAATGTAAAATTCATTAAAACCCATTTATTTGCTTCAAGAATTACACCTAAAACAATAAAAAATAATAATAATCAGAACTTTTTTAAGGGTTGTTTGTTTGAGTTTGGGTTTTTGTTGGAGGCTTACCAGGATCCGCAAAGCTCCGAGTTTTCTTGAGGTATTGGCTCAAGCGATTGCATGTAACTGAGAAATTAGACCTCTTTGGTTCACCCATGGTATCTTAATCTCACCGGCGAAGCTCCGTAACCAATCTCTTTGCGTATGTGGTGTTCTTCTTTGCGTTTGCTTCCTCGAGCTTTGTCTTTAATAACGTTGGCGCGAGAGAGAGAAAATCTTTGAAAAAGAAAAGGTATACGAGCACGTGTTTTTTGGGGAGGAAAAGATGCACGTTGTCTTGGGAGGGGAGGCATCGGACTGAGTCTTCTAAAGGTGACAAGGCACGTGGAGACATAAAATAGGGAGCATCTTGGTGCGACCCAAGCAAGGGCCAAGGCGTATGATTCTTCTTTGTTGGTTGTGGGACCTATGAAAGACTATTCAAAACCAATAACACAAGATACTTTATTATCAAGAAAAATTGTTAAAACTCATTTGTATTTCAAAACTATGATGTTTTTCTTCCTCTAAACAATTTTTTCTTAAGGATTAATTACAATATGATATCTCGAGATATGATATAATTACATGAACTTTGGAGTTTGCATATCTACATGGGTAACCCTTGTTACAAATTGTGACCACGAGGGTAACCATGGAGCCTAAACGACAAACAAATCAAGGGGTTATCGGTGTAACTACAAGCAGTAACTTCATGGTTACCGATATAAATACTAAAATTCTAGGATCACTCATTTAGTTACAACATACCTTAAGGTACCAGATTATAATTTATCATTATTTCAATGGTAGACTAGAAGCTAAACGTAGCAATAAATGTGTGTGATTGGTTTCATAGTCAATGCACAACATGCACGCCAAAGCTTAACAAATTACCAAATAAAAAAAAGTAACAATAAATAGAGACTATAGAGACTCAAATCAAAAGTACTGTTTGGGGATTTAGGGAAAATGGTTAAAAGGAAGGACTAACTTAGTTAATCCTTCACGAGAGGTTAAAAATAATTTAATTCCATTTGATTTGATAGTCAAGATCAAGGATTAAGTTTTTTGTGTTTAGTAAATAAAAAAGGGTTAAGGAGGCTAATTGCTATAAATATCTTAAAATATTTTTTAAAGTATTTTCTTATTTCAAGAGGGAATACGTCTTAATCCTCCTCCTTAGACAGATTTGGTAACTCCTCTAAATGAGGGGTTAACTAACTTTAACCCTTGTAGGTACCGTTTGGAAAATGGTTAAGTGAGGGGTTAAGGAGACTTAGGGCATCTCCAACAGCTTCTCTAAAATTTTCTCCAAAATGGGGAAGCAAAAGTCATATTCTCCAAATTATTTTTACACCAACTCCAACAGCTTCCCTATTTTGAAGAATCTATGTTTTCCTCCAAAATTTAGAGAATGCTGTAGATTTGGGAAAGCTTTCCTATTTTTTTTTCTCCATCCCTATTTTGGAGAATGAGATGGGGAATCTGTTTGACCAAAAACCTAACTAAATTCTCCAAAAGTGGGAAATTGGAAAACTGTTGGAGATGCTCTTAACCCCTTCTTAACCAGCCAAACACAAAAAATTTATACAATGGTTAAAGTGAGTTAACCCTTCATAATTTGCCAAACATAAACAATATAGAAGGGTTAAGTTAACCCTTCTAGAGGGATTAAAATCAGTTAATCCATTAAAATAAGGGGTTTACTAATACTCCTATTTAGAAGGATTAAGAATTAACCCTTCTAATTATAAAGAAAATAGTCAAAATCATTATTATTCCCAAACACTAAAAATGATCACAAGAGCTAAAATAAAACTTCTATAATGAGTTAATAATTTAGTCCTTCAGATTATGAAGTAGGTTAACTGTGTTAATCCTTCTCCTTAATCCTTCTTCCTTAACCCTTTACTAAATGGGGCCCTAAAGAGTTTGTTAACCCTTTGACCAAATTAATACATTTGGATGGTTAAGAAGGAGCTAAACCTCCTTAATGGCCGTAAAGAGTTTGTTAACCCTTTGACCAAATTAATACATTTGGATGGTTAAGAAGGAGCTAAACCTCCTTAACCCTTCTTCAACTGGGGCCAAAGCGTTTAAGGAGATTACCTTGATTTTCTACTAGTTTCCTCTTTTTCCAATAGTCATGGTTACTCGGATTTAATGTGAAGAAAGGAGAGGAGAGATAGATTTTGTAATAGCTTGAGAAACAAGAGAATTATTGAGTATTTTTGAGAAAAGATAAAAAATAAATAATTTTAAAAGTTTTTTAACGACAAGTAGGGTTGTAATGAAAAAAAGTGTTAGGGAGTTCTAAGTGTTAGGTCTCATGTTTATGAGCCTATTGTCTAATCTAATTTTGATAATTAACAAATAATTCCTAATATCTTTTGTTGAGTGTTTGTATTTGCATGTTAAGAATTCTACACAAATATCCTCAATCAGATGTTGGTTGGAATTGAACTTAACGATAACATCCTAATGGAGGTTGGCAGAAATAGGAATGACGCCATCGCAATTCAAGTCAAGATTCATCATCGCTTCATCCGCAACCAAGACGAGCTAAATTGAAGATCAATTGCTTGGGTATAGTGTTTTAGATTTATACTTTATGTGTTATGCTTAGAGCTCAAATTCATATACACACACGTATTATTTTATATTTTGTGTTTTAGATTATAGACTAAATAATACTAGTTTATATCTTTTCTAAAGTCTATCAATCCATTAAAAAGAATTTTAGAACTTTTTAAAGAAATTTTATCAAAATTATGTTTTCAACAAAACTCGTATTTTGACAATTTTGCAAAACAGTGAGCTTTCATAAATAGAAAATGATATTTTAGAAATTTCTTTTCTAACATGTTTATTTTCACATGAAAAATTAGCTTTTCGGGTTTCATGTCATTATTGCAAAATAAATGAGTTTTCACAAATGGAAAATGTTATTTCAGAAATTTCTCTTCTAACATGTTTATGATCATATGAATAAATATTTCCCCAAATTTTATAATTTTTAGAGTTGTTTTATAATTTTAAACTAAATTTATAAAATTAGATTTTTCAGGTTTCATGTATCTGTGAATAGTATTTTCGGTTGACCGATATTGTTCATTAGTCGACTGACACTATTTATTTTTGCATGTGCATGTTTTTTGGTCAGCCGATTGAATCTACCGGTTAACTGATCAGAAGCATTTCTTCAGCCTTCAGTTTTCCAGTCTGATCGGTCGATCGGTTTGATCCGTCAGTCGACCGATAACGGTCATATTACATAGTAACGACTAGTTTTTTGGCTATTTTGTTAAAGAGACTATATATATGCCTCATAACGTATTTGTTTTAAGAAGAAAGTTTACAAAATAGCTTTGCCAGTTTATTTAAAGAGTTTTTGAGTGTGTTTTGTTTATGTAAAGAAAGTTTCACAAAGAGGAGGATTTCAATTTCGGTTTTGAGGCGTTCAACCTTAAATCTTCATAACTACACCTCTTTGTTCAATTGGAGAAGTTTTCTTAAACTCTTTTCTTCTAGCAAATTTATATTTTGATTCTCATTCATAAGCTAGAATTATTTGAGTTTAATTTTGTTTTTTATTATAGTTTCACACACAACCATTTGAGCTTAAGTATTTTCACATATAGTTTATTTCGGTTGTGGGTGTGATTCATCGAGTGAGCTAACTGTAGGCGTCAAAAAATGCTGAAAGGTATCCAAACACAGCTCAAAAAGAAGTCATCCAAAATGTCAAAAAGAACACAAGTATAGACTGTCTCGCATGCGAGACAGTCTTTACTGTCTCGCACGCGAGACAGACTTGACTGTCTCGCCGTGCGAGTTTACTATCTCGCCCACGCGAGACAGTCTTTACTGTCTCGCGGGCGAGACAGACTTTTACTGTCTCGCCCAAGCGAGACAGTCTTTACTGTCTCGCTGTGCGAGACAGAATTTACTGTCTCGCACGTGAGACAGTTCTCAAAGGCTCAGAAACTATTTTATAAACCGCCGACACGTGGTCACCAACTGTTCAAGAACGTGGGAAACATCGTGGGCGAGAATCACGTAGATAACTGCCAAAATAACGGAGTTTGAAACGTGGGAAGGCAGTTAAAATGAAAACTGTCTGACGGTTACTATTTCCGAGACAGCGTTTACTGTCTCGCGGGCTGAGACAGCAAACACTGTCTCGCCCGCCCAGACAGCAAACACTGTCTCGCGAGCACTGTTCATCCAGAGGGTTATAAATACCCCCCGAAGGCCATTTTCAAGGGGGCTGATCATTCTTGAGCACTTCAGAGCAATCCAGAGCAGGGAGAGAGCAGAGTTCTTATGCTTCTGGCAACTCCTTGAAATTGAGCTTTGACTTGATTTTAAGAAGAACGACTATCTTACTTTGATAAGATATCATTTCAAATTCTCACTTCGATAAACGAATGACGAATCATCAAACCCCTCACGATTTAATCAGAATCTGTGATTTGGTGGTCCACGAACCAAAGCGTTCCCGGCACAGGCAAAGATCCCATGCAAACAGCGATCCAAACAACGATCCTGCGTTTGTTTCTCAAGAGTTGTAATTTTCATTTTGTTGTGTAAAAGAGGTCTTATAAAAAGGCTATCTCTTTTTTGAATTTATTGTAATCGACCGAAGATATAATGAATTCCATGACAAAGTCAACTTTTGACGCAAACAAGCTGGCGACCACAGTGGGAGCCAACGGTCTCGCTGCCGAGACCGTCGTCGTCTCCCAGCCGATCAAGATTCCAGTTGAATCCATGGTCGAATACGAATTCGACCAAACCAAGTTTGAGGAATATCTCTCATCATCCTCTTCAAGATCTTCATTGTCTCGCAAGTACAAGAGGATCTCACAATTAAGGAAAACTTACATGCCAAAGAAGGCACAAAATGAAGACTCTCGCCTGATTGTTGCTGAGGATTTTACTCGCAACATCTCTGCTCACATTGGCTCTTCTCCAATTAAGGAGTCATTAAATTAAAGCCCACCGGCATTGACGAAAAGAGCTCGTCAGAGACAACGTCAGCGCCACGCTCGTCAAATAGCTAAGGCCTTGGAACAAACCGACGGAGTTCGTTATCATGCGGACTTAGAGTCGAGGAGGCATCGAGTGGTTCAGTTGTCTCAACGACCAATCATTCATGTCTCTGCTAAACTCACGACGGAGGAATGGACTA